TTTATATGACTAACATCATCAGAGCCAGGTATCATCTTTACAACCAAATTCAAGCTTAGAAGTCAATAAAACTCACATTTTTACTCGAAATGAAAGTAAGCTCAACGATTATGAAACGAGAAATTCCTCTAACCTCAATTTTTATTCGCATATAACACCTGACTTGTCTGGTAGCCAAAGCCAACTGGACGCTAACGATACCATTGCTTGACTTTTCTTACTTCAGGCGTCATCGGTAGCTCGGAGGACGTCCAGCCGAGCCCAGGTCGGTTGGGCCGATTGCGGACGAGTATGCGTCAGTCTAGCAGACTTGACTCAGCCTCTACAGGAACACCGCGACCTGTGGCTGTCGCCACCATTGAGGCTGACAGCGGCAGTTGTGGCAATTCGGCCTCCAGTTCTCGTGCCGACCCGCGGGGCACGGTGCGTCAGGGAAGGACTCGTAGACCGGTAAAACGGCACCAAACCAGTCCGGTCAACGGTAGCCTTGCCGTCACAGCCATTGCCACCTCTGCGACAGCCTCACCTGGCCCCGAAGCCGTCGGGGACAATGGTAACGGTCTCAACTCAACTGTCCTCTCAGACCCACGCATGCAACCGCATCACGAAGCTGCTTGGCTACAAGAAGAGAACATGTGCTTACGCGCACAGCTGACTGCGTTCGAGTCCCGATTGCGGCATGTCAGCGCGGTAGGTTGTCCTATTCCTTACGATTTTGTTGTTCAGCCAACTAACACAGACTGCCTTGGAGCCAGCTTTGCCGGTGCTGATCTCTCTGTACCGTTTAGTGGAGCTTACATGTAGTTTGAATACTTCATTTAATAAACCAACCAAAGCATTGACTTGGAGATTATTGCCAATTTTGTCAAAGGAAGTTCTAGCAGAAAGTGTGGAAAGTTATGCGAAGGAATGTTGAATCTCGGGCAAGCTCTTGGTTTTTAAGAGTTTCAGGCATTCGATTGATTACTGGTAATAAGGGTATTATTATAGTTGGGATTTTATGATAATTATGCGGTTGAATATTAGAAATATTCAGTGAAGAATTTAAATGCCACTGTTAACTTAATATATTTGTAAAGTACTAAATCGGCGGGCATTTTGGCAAGTTTCAATGTGGTATTAATACATACTAACATACAAGTTCATGTAGCTATTCCAGCACTAGTACTCAGAAGATCGAGGCAAAAGTTCATTCTTAAGACTGATTAATCTTA